CCCCCCCCCCCCCCCCCCCCCAAAAAAAAAAAAAAAAAAAAACTTTTTTTTTTCTTATTTGCACCTTATGTGGTGATGTGGACCAAAAAGTGACCACCTCCTTCAAGCGCGTGGGAACTTAAAGAAAAAAGTTGTAACGATACGAAACGGCCATGTGTTAGTCTCAAAGCTGATTTTCGAGAGTCCTTCGTCCTAAACACACTTGAGTTTCATGAACATTTTGTCACCCATTTTCAAGAGCTTCAAATCTGATTTTGGGTCTCACAATTCAACGAAATCTCAGCTAAATTCGCACCAATCAAGCTCAAATTTCTGCAGCTGCACAACATCATCATCAAATCCTAGCAATCAATTTCGCCAACAACCAAGAATTTTAACAAATCTATTTTCTTGCTCTTCAAGATTTTTCAGGTTCAACAACGGTGGATTCGAAATTCTTTCTCCATTTTCGAATCTCAGTAGCAACTAAGGATCTAGAATGAGTTTAGCACTTAATTCTCAACTTCAAAACTTCAACAAGCTTCGAATCTGCTCAGCACCTCCAATTCTTTTTCAAGTTCATACAAGAACAATAACAATAACAATTGTACTTTTTATTTTTTTAATTATATTTTGGATTTAAAAAGAAAATAAAAAAGGAAGAAAATAAAATAGAATTAAAAAAATAATAAGAAATTGCGAAATTACACGTGGCAACGCGTGTATTTCACTGTCTACCAAGAGTTTGGTATATACGCCACGTCATCACTTAGGATGGTGTTTATTACACTTTAAAATCGTTCGGAAGGGTAATAGGACCCTGTAAAGGAAATGTGTGTTCCTGGAACTTCGAGTATAGTTTAGGGGGTACTTATGCCTTTACCCATTTATTTATAATATCAATTTCATTGCTCAAACTGCAGGTATACGCAGGTATACAAATTCTTGCATTTAGTACTTCATTGTAGCCTTCAGTTACTCTTTTGTTTCATATATTTTTCTTTGTCAGGATAGGTCGGAATGATGCTCAGGGGTATGGGATTTGCCAAAGATACTCCAATATATTTGGCTTCTGGGAAGATTTACCAGGCCGATAGATATCTAGCACCTCTTCGAAAGATGTTTCCTCTCCTACAAACCAAGGAGACTTTGGCAACCAAAGATGAGCTTGCTCCATTTGAGGTATAAGTTGTTGATGAGAAGTCATTTCTTTTAGAAAAATAGTGTGTGGGACATGGTTGACCACCTCCAATACCACCATCGAATGCACTAGTATTGGACCAACTCAGTAATGGACATATCCACTGTCTATTTCTGCTCTAACTGAACCTAAGTTCTTGGACAAGTATTTCTTCGAGGGATGTATCTAGTACATAGTAGTTTAAAATTCTTTCCTCTCCTCACTTTTGTAACTTTTTGCATCTTCTTGATGCCAGCAATGAATCCTACTTCATAAAAAAAAAATACATTTCTTCCCAAGCTACCATTTTCCAAATTACCACAGCTAAGAAATTGCACTGAATCAAAGAGATATTGTGCTCTCTGCACAGCCAATTCAACCAACATTGATTTGCATCTAATGCCAGAAGCACTTCCAAGTTCCGACAAGCTAATGATTTATCAGAAGTATAATTTGGCTATTTCAAAATTTTGAGAATTTATTCAGTATGACATAGAAAGAAACCAGCAAACAGGATTCTAGTGACTGGACCTTTCATCCATGCCATAGCCGTGTTGTGTCATTGGAATTTTTTGGAGTTCTATGTTACTAATTTACTATTTAGTGGAAGCAGCTAGCTGATTGTCCAAGCGTATAAACAAGTTCACTTCATTTCATTCCATTTTATTTTGTTTTATAGGGTTATTCATCAAGACTCGCTGCTGTGGACTACCTAGTATGCTTGTTTAGTGAGGTATTTGTAACCACTCAAGGGGGAAACTTTCCTCATTTTTTGATTGGTCATAGAAGGTACCTTTTTAATGGACACGCCAAGACTATCAAACCTGATAAAATCAAGCTTGTATCTTTATTGCAGAACACAAGTATAAGGTCAGATCCTTTTCCTATAGCTGTCTTCTATTTTCTTTTCTTTCTGCTTCTCGTATAACTGAAAGTACAATCCAGATTTTGTTGCCTGCATTATACACCGATAGGTAGAAGATGTGATCACGAAAAGCATCAGTTGCTGATAGTTCATGATCCCAAAGTTAGAATTACATGCACTTTTACGCATATGAGTCAACTTATTTGCTCATAAATCATATTATCTAATGGCAAAAAAATTTAATACTGCAGGTAAAAAAAAAAGATAAGTTTTTTATTTAACTTCCTAATTCTGTTTCCATTATAGGAATTAAAGTAAGACGTGATCATTTACCTGAATCGGGAAGGATTTGTGCCTCCTTTGGACCAGAACAGTTGAAATGCAAAATGAATGGTGAGCTCAAATGTACATAGTAACAGACTAAAGGGCATGAAATGGAATAAACCTACCCCTAAAAAGTTGATCATTTCAGAATGTTTCCGAGGCTAAATCTAACCTGATTTTGAAACACGAGGAATAAGTTATAGTATGAGTCGATCCTAATACATTCTAGGTTGTCTCTCACCAATCTAGTATCATCTCTGAGTTCATCTCATCTTTACTCATCCCACTTCTCTTAAATTTCCAGGCAACTTTATCATAATCGTCAAGAGCATAACATCATTTCTTTTCTTCTTTTTGTTTTCTTTTTTCATAATTGTTTTTTTTCATGTACTGCTAAACAGCTGGATTGAATTCAAGGGTCAAATGGGATCAATGCTGGCCGAAAGTGATAGGAAGGGCATAATGGTACCTAGAGTTAAGAAGTCCACCAGAAAAGGTTCTATCTATTCGAATCCTTTGCCTGAATGCAGGTGTCTTTGGGAGTCAAAAAGAGCTACCAACCGAAGCAATTCGTACCTCATGGTAGATCGCTGAGATTCGTCCCTGGTTCTAAGTTTCTTCTGATTTTGAGCAGTCTAAGTTGATCAACTAATCTGGGATCCTTTTGCAAGCACCATTTACTTTTCTATTTTGCTTGTTATTTGTGCAATCGTAACGGAGTCTCCACGTGCTGCCATGCTATATCCATGGAAATCAGTATACTTCCAGCTTGTCATATTGGGGTCTACCAGTTTATGTGCCAATAGAATGTGGTGGAAAAGAGCTGAGGCTCCAAGTCCAACATTGATTACAGGAACCAAAGATTGTCAAAGCATCTCAGTCGAGATCATGAGAATTTATTTTCCAGTTTTTCCTTAGCCAGCAAGGCAGGACATTTCATCTGTCTGGAGTTGATATATCAGTTTCTCAGATCCTAAAGGTTTCAGTTATTCTTTTTTATAGTGTAGATTCTTGGTTCTTTCTCCCTTCTTTAATTTTGTTACTGCCTTTCACATTGCTTCTGGGAAGTTTGTACTCTAATACTCTACCTATTATAATACTATAAGTTTTAGTAAATTGAATTTCAGGATTTATCGTGCCAATTGTTTCTACCTAAGCAAGTGTCTTGAGGTCTTTTGCAGCTTTATATAATATTGGACTAAGATGAACTTAAATGAAGCGTCATGGAGAATGAAGATTCATATAGCCCAACTTGCTTGGGTATTTCCCGTAAGGTAAGAGAGCTTAAGGAGGTTTAAACTTCGTAGTGGTTATGTAAGGGGGAAACAGAAGGGGTTATTATATTAAGATTCCATGACACTAGCCCCTCTCCATCCAACTCATTGTAGCTTAATGATGAAGATGGATTCTTCAAAAACGATAGATTTGTACTCTTTATTTTATCTTTTAGATGAATAGAAAGTTACACGACCTCCTCTTTTCCACCTATTAAAATATTTAATTGGGTACGTTTATTGCAAAATTAACTCAGTTTTCTTTTTATGCATTAAAATTATGATTTTTTTCTACCTTAGATGGTATATCTATATCATATTTATGTGCCTGATTATAGTGGTAGTTCCAGTTTCATGGATATCTAAAATTTAAGCATATATATTTAGCGGTATAACATAAAACGTTCGTTTACATGCGACTTACTTAGTTTGGTGCAGAACATAGGTTCTTTGTTATTTGTAGGAGCGACAAACGGACGGGTCGGGTTGGATATGGTTTGGGTTGAAAATGGATAAATTATCCAACCCGATCCATATTTAATACAGATAAAAAACGGGATAACCGGCTGATAATATGGGTAACCATATTATTCATGACTTCTTGAATATGATCACTTTTTGAGGAACCCCAATTTGAGGCTTTACAAATATAAAAGTTAAACCCATTGATTGGTCATTTTCTAAATGGATAATATGATTCTTATCCATATTTGACCCGTTTTTAAAAAGTTCATTGTCCAACCAATTTTTGAGTGAATAATATGGGTGATTAACTATTTTCGTTTAACCATTTTGCCGGCCCTAGTTATTTGTATTATCTACTTTAATTTATGTATGGGCTTAAAGATATTTAGTTATCCTTGCGACGGTGGCTTTAATATTTTTTGTTCAGAAGGGACATTATATTGGGGGTACTGAAATAGTTACTGAACTGGACATTGTTGGCTAAAGTTGTCACGTCTGCTTTTATGATGTTGAGTTGCTGAAAATGTTCCATGAGAAAATGAGTACTGCATGCTAGAATTGTGCTCCATAGCTTCTTCATTGCTTTGTTTTGGCAGTCACAGCTCTAGTATAGTAACAGTCTGTATTAATCCAACTTTGCTCAAAGATACTGAAGAACACCTCCCATTTTTGCCAAACGGAGCTGTAGAGCAGAAAAAATGTGGTTACTGTTCTCTCCTCCTCCACTTGACATAAGGAACGGGCTAAAGTCCAAGATGGGAAATCAATGGAGACTTTTTCGTGTACGTACTAAATTATAAAGTTATTTACCCTAAATATCTAAAGTTTGCTATTTATTAAAGTTGACTGGATTTTTTCTACAAATTACATACTCCATGATTAGGGCAGCGTTTGTCTCTCATCTCTTCCATCTTCCTTTCTCTCTCCTCTTTTCCTGTTCTCTGACACCTCCATCACCGCCGAAAAACAGCCAATTATAGCTTTGAATCAAACCATACTACTTAAATTGTATAGTTAGCGGCCAAATCAAAAGACCCTAGTCGTCTTCTTCGCAGAAATTGACTTCGAAATTTCTGATTCAAGAATCTATATCAGATCCCATCACCTCCAAACTTCGAATTCAGCTTCGTATTAGTGTTTCTAACAAGAATCTATATTATCCAGTTAATTTCTCACATAAATTTCAAGTCTCCGATGAAATCCAGTTTTCTCGAAGTGCAACAATGTGCGCTTTCAATGGTGGACCTTGAACTTTCCCCACCCCAAATCCTTCATTTTCAATTAATATCAAGTTTTTCAGTTCAAACGAACACGGATCAGGGCAAATGAGTAGATTTGGAATTCATTCTCTACTTTTCTTTTTATAACAAATCGAGTAACAAAAGAAAAATATATGATACGTCAGCTTACAAATTAAACAAATTTCCTATAAATTTAATACAAAGTTGATATGTCCACAACAACATATAAATTAAACATAAATTGCATACAACTAATTATACTGTATACAACCTATTTATAACTTATCTGAAACTTCCATACATCATACTTACCTGCTTTAATCATGCGGGGTGGACTAGTTTAAGCATGCAGGGTGGACTAGTTTATTTATGAAAGATTCATGGAAGTATTTCTCATTATGTGATTGTGTATGCATGACGTGACAACCATTAAAGTGGGAGAATTAGAGATCAAGTATGGAGATTTCTGTATTTTTGAGGTTTAGAGACTTGGTATTCTCAAAGCCAGACTATTCTTTTGGTTGCGGATTGTGAAAGTGTTAAGGGTTAAGACAACTGATCGCATGTATGATGGATAGGGTCATTATGGATTTTGAAAGGTTATTTACTTATTTCGGAATCGTTTAAATCGGCTTGGGGGCCTATTAGTAGACCTAATGAGAACATGTATTCTATACTGGATTGAATTTGCTTACTCAGCACAACATTTGCTATGGGTGTGCAATCGGGTGGAGTTGATCTTACTCAATCCCTGATATATTTCACTTGTTACTCCCTTATGCTGTGATGATTCGTGAAACGACTTGATTATGCACACACATGTTGTAGTTTTGTTCAGGCCTTGTGGTGGTATATGACTTGACTAACCGTTGTTTTCTTTCATTGTTGATCATCTTACTATCTTATTATTTTTATTCTGTTTTTTATGGCTTTTTGGTATTGTCCTTTCTTGTCTATATTTTCATTAATGTGATGCTTATGCTTTCCTGAGCCGACGGTCTATTGGAAATAACCTCTCTATCCTTACAAGGTAGGGGTAAGGTCTGCGTACACACTACCCTCCTCAGACCTGACAGTGTGGGATAATACTGGGTATGTTGTTGTTGTAGAGAGATATGAGCAAGATGACTCTTGAGATGTTTATTTGTCTATTTCACCTTAGTCGTCCTTTCCTTCTTCATTGCACATTATGCTATCTATCTCCCCATGGTTATGTTTATGCACTTTACGTGCTTATTGTTGATACCCATGTGTTTGATGAGTATGAGGATTTTGGCTCGATAGGTATTCCCATAAGGATGTTATGTTGGATCGGGTTGCACGCTGCAATGGTATGATGTTGGATCGGGTTGCCCGACATAAAAGTATTATGTTGAATACGATTCTTTGTACTTATGTCGTGTGTTTTGATTCTCCTTTGTAAAGTGGGTTCATAGCATTATGATTTTGTTGTTATATCCGTTAAGCTGGTTGGGTAGCTCTCTTTTTTGGGTCTCTTTTTCATTATTGGTCATATTCGAGTTATTGCTTGTTTGACGCACGCATCGCATTGTATGAGGTTCTAGATGGCATTGGATATGTCTGTCATTCGAGCAGCTTGTACAGGGTGACATGAGGTTATTGGACCTGAAATTTGAGAAATCGAATTTGGATAAGGTGTGTTTGGAAGAAGATGCCGTTAGTTAGCTAAGAAATTGGCAATGGTGCTTGTCGGGCGAGAGGACTCCATGACTTATTGATTTGATGGGTGGTTATGAGTTTTTACACGTTTCTTTCATTATGAGCAGTGTTGCAAGGATTTGGAACAAGATTTTATTTAATATAAGTTATACTACGATATCAGTTTGGTAATAAGCAGTTGTTGCGATTTGAAGATACTGCTATGAGTATACGAGCTATAGACTTGGAAGTAGATTTATGGCTTGTACCGCTTGTGGGGATTGATAGTGTATATGTACAAGAATCGTATCTTAGAGCAAATTTCGGATATTGAAATTTAGTTCAAGTGCTTATAGGCTAAGGTTGCAGACTTGCAGTAAGGATCTTTAGTCAAGAATATGTTAACAAGTGTAAAAGGATTGAGTTGGAATGAGATCACTTGTGGGTAAGTGTACGATGAGTTCAAACAGTTATTTGACGGCTTTGGAATGAATCTTAGCACGTTAGAGGATGAACATATGTTGAAGTGGGGAAGAATGTAACGACCCAACATGTCATTTTGAGCTTTATTATCCCATTTTGTAATTTGAGACCATGAGTAGTTCCATATGATGTATTACGGGTTGTGCATATGTTTGTTTTTAACTTTCAAGAGGTTGAGACTGATTTGGAAGAGAAATTCTTATTATTAAAGCTTTAAGTTGAAAGATTAACCAAGGTTTGACTTTTGAGTAAACAACCCCGAAATTAGGATTTGATGGCCTCAATAAGTTCGTATGGTGATTTTAGACTTAGAGTGTATGTTCAGATTTGGTTTTGGATGTTCTTAGAAGATTTTAACTTTATTTCTCTAAAATTAACAATTTTAGAGAATTGAAGAGCTCGTGATTTTGGCCGATAGTTGACTTTAGGGTTATCGAATTTTCGGGACTGTGGATAGGTTCATTTTGTTGAATGGAACTTATGTGCAAAGTTAAGTTGAAATCCGAGATGTCTATGTATGAATAGAACTCTTGGTTGGAAGTATAGAAGTTCATGAACTTAAGAGAAATTCAATATGTCGTTTGGTCTTTGATTCGTAGATGTGATATTTTCTTAGGTGTTTTGAGACCTTGGATAGATCTAGATAGTATTTATGGACTTGTTAGAATGATAGGACATGGTCCTGGGAGACTCGGATGAGTTTTGAATAAGTTTGAGCATTTCGGCACTTTGATGATGTTCTGAAGCTTCGGTGGTGTAGAGAGCACTTTTTGGAATGCTGAGGAAAAATTTAGAGTACTGAGGCAAATCCTCAAGTGCGACCGCAACCTCCAAAGTGTGGGAGCATGGCCAAAGTGCGGACGACACTGAGGGCCAACAGGAAATTTGCAGATTTATAGGTCTAATTTCGAAAGTTTATATCTCCTAATCTATGAGAAATTTGGAAATTATTCAAAAATGAAAGTTGTAGCTCTTTGAATCTAGTTTTCAGAAATTCAATCCGTTCATCAT